CCCCAAAACCCCAAAACCCCAAAACCCCAGTGTTAAATATTCATATTGAATATTCCAAAATCAGCTGAAGCTTTATGAAGCCTGTTTGCTATAAGTGTAATAAACATTCCTTCCAAATCCCGTTTTGATTTTATATTTAACTTCAGCATTTTCCACCCTGAATGAAGGGATAAGTTTTGATAATTTGGAGACTTTACCCAAAGAATTTGAATTCATTCATTTCTAAATGATCCTTCCTCTGTGTAATTAAGTGGAAATATGAGGACCCATCCCAAACCAAATTATGCAGGATGTAAATACTTTTAAGACTAAGATTCTGGGTTTTAATTTGGCTTCAAACCAAGAGTTTTCTTTCTGGAAAGATTGGCATTATTCAAAGTAAGGCGTTTTCTTTTCTGAACCATCATTTGAGCAAATCTTGTTCTAGGTTTTGTAATAAGTGGAGGGTTCAGCATCTCCTTAGACTCCTCTATACACTCAACCTCTGATTTCAAAGGAGGTTCTGGAGCTTCATCTTCTGGGGGCTCAGTAAGAGAATTATCTTTGTCAAGCAGGTAGGACACATAGAGCTTGAGTTCGTGTAAAGACTGGGATATGTCAACTATATCAACTCCTTGCTGAATTTGATGGTATCGTCTCTTCTTCTGAATGTCTTTAATTGTTGGAATGGAAGACACAATGTTATTTCTATGTCTCTCGTGAGGTTGCATATTATACAACTGACTTCTATCATTGTTCGGATTCTCTCTCTGAGAGCTGACTTGAACTGCCTCCACTCTGTTTGTATTCCTTACTCATTTCTTTCTTCTTTTCTTAACTGGTTTTAACCCTGAAGAGTTGAAAGAAAACCACTGTTTCGTAGTATTTACTTGTGTTTGGATTTTCTTGAGTTCTCTTTTAATCAGAATCATTGAAATTATTTTAGTGACCAGGCCAAAGCAAATGGAAAGGACTTCATAGAGCCCTCCAATCAGACCAAGAACATCCATGAATCCAATAACATTGATCTCCACGATTTCATAATTATCACCAGCAGTAAATTCTAAATATGATGCTGTGGAAGTATAAGTTGGTGCAAAATCCGAATTACGATCAAAAAGGAGGTCATAATAAGCTCCTTCAGTCCCTCCAGTGATTAGTGAATCCCAATCATTAACTTTATATTGAGTCTTTTGCATTTGATAGAGAAAATACGAAGACATTGTCAAAGACATCTCTAGAATAAAGGGGTCAGTGTAATAACTCTTCACTGGATTAGTCGGATCTGAAGAATCAATTGCTTTACTAATAATATAGATTTTAAGATAGCTCAATGACCCAACTATTTCAGAATAATTACCAGGGCACTCAAGATAACTACAAGATCTCGCATATATACCAATATTGTTAAAACTTCAAGTTAGATTGACTGCCATGAGATATCTTCATCAAGCTAGTATTTTTGAATCAATAGAGGTCTTGGCTGGAAATATCAGAGCTTCCCTCAACTTTGGAGATTGGAAAGCTCGTATCGTTACACTTCACTATTTCAGAAGTTGCATTTGAAAGTAAAAATTCTTCTGTCATATTAGATGTTGAAGCATCAAAATTGACAGAATGTAGATAAATCTTCCCAATACCAGAGCCAAAGAAGTCTACTGTTTCATCTGGTGACACCCACTGGAAAGCCAAGTATATCCCTTCTTCGTTCAGATTGACATTCAATGGGTTTTCTTTGTAATTGGCTTTCTCGATGCTGTAGTTGTTTTGCAGCCGAGTTCTTCCAAACATTTCTTGCAGAAGTCTGGCTGCATACAGTGAAGTAATAGTCACAAGGATTATTGAGAACACCGCTCCAATAAAAGTTTGGTAATTCTTCTTGTTGTTGAAGCTCATGGTGAACTTCTGTGAGAACATGTCCAGACTCTTCACACCTTGATATATATTGAACAAGTACTTGGCCATATTGTCTATAAGCAAGTAATTTAATTATATAAATAAGTTTAAATACAATATGTATAGATTCAAGTAAGCCTCTTTATTTCGGGGTTTTGGGGTTTTGGGGTTTTGGGGTTTTGGGG